TGTGTTCCTCTTGGAACGCGCCGCAGAACCGGCTGCTGGTGACGACCGCGGTGTTCGCTCCTTCAGTCCCCTCGGCAGCCCGCCGCCCTCTGCCGCGGCACCCCGCACACCCGCCGCTCTCTGGTGCCAGGTGAGCGCCCCTCTTCACATGTGAAGGTCAGGGACCCTGGAGAAGGATCTTGAGGGCAGTGGCGGCTCGGACGTCGGTGCGGAGCCCCACCTCGGTTCTGTCCCAGCATCTCCCCACCACAACCCCCCTCCAATACACACACGCTCCCCGCCCTGGTACCCTGGCCCTCGGCAGAGCAAGCTCCCTAGGTCTGCTGCGCAATGCGGCGGCTCTGCGCGCTGAGTCATGGCGGGGGAGGAAGCTAGATGAGTTGGAGGGCCGCTCCGCTCCCCTTTTATTGAGGGACCCCTAGTGTAGAGGGTTAGGGCCTCTCGGCCTCGGCAGAGATCTTGAGAAGCAAAGAGGGGTGGGAGTCTGCTAGTATACTGCCTCAGGGTTCTTTTGAGCTGGAGGTTGGTTCCTATCCGGGAAGACGGGGTGCCCCTGGCATGGAGGGGAAACCCCTTGGCGGCGCCTGGTGACCCATTAACACTTTCCCTATCTTTCCTTATCGGGTGACCTTGATTCTGAGCTCGGAACAGCTGCAGCCCAGCGAACCACCAAGAGGATTTTTCAGGGAAAGGGGTGGGGCACTCGCCTCTCCTCGTTCTTTCCTCGTTTGAGCAGTGACTATGAGCAGTAACAACGGCACACCTTACAACTTCCCTCCACCTCAGGCTAAGGGCTGCTCTGTTGCCCTTTCCTGATTTTCTGATTGCCCTCCTGCCTTTTTCCTAACACCCTTTCCTAACACTTCTCACCTTGAGGGAAGAAACCTGACCTTGGGATGTCCTTGAAGCACTGAAGCTTGGGCCAGCCCTGGGATCTTGGGTAGACTGGAAGTAATACCCTAAGGGGAGTTAGAAGGTCTGGGTTCTAATCTCAGATCTGGTCCTTGGGTTGCTGTGTGGCTTGAAGCACAGACTTTCCCTTCTCTGGGCCTTTTACATGAGGAGAGTATTGGGCCCTCTGCCCTGTTTGTGACTTCTAAATTCTAAAATACCTGGTTCGGTTTTGTTTCTAGGCAAGGTGACCCCATGGCAAGCCGCAAGCCAGACAGGTCCAGCTTCACGATGACCTGCTTGTCCATGGCTGTGGCCTTTTCCTATCCCCCAGTTGCCAATGGGCAACTCCACCCTGAGCTGGGCAACACCCAGCAACAAACAGAGTTAGGAAAGGTACAGGAGGCAGTACCTAGTATAAGGAAGCTGGGTATACCAGAGAGCCGGGGACAAGAAGCACCCTAGGGCCTGCTGGGTGTGGGGTGGGGATGTAGGGAACATTTGTCCTGACCTCCAAGTGAGGGCCCTTCTCCTTGAGCAAACATGGGAAGACCCAGCTAACCAGTCCTCCCTTATCTGTCTCCTCTACCCAGGAACCCACTACCACTACCACCAGCACCATGCCCTACCCATATCCAGCGCTGACCCCGGAGCAGAAGAAGGAGCTGTCTGACATCGCTCACCGAATCGTAGCTCCGGGCAAGGGCATCCTGGCTGCAGATGAGTCTACTGGTGAGGGCAGGGCAGGAGACAGTGGGAGGATTGCCCAGGGTTGGGTGTGGTAGGCTGGTACCTTACTTCCATGTGACACTCCCCTTCAGGGAGCATAGCCAAAAGGCTGCAGTCCATCGGCACTGAGAACACAGAGGAGAATCGGCGTTTCTACCGCCAGCTGCTTCTGACTGCCGATGACCGCGTGAATCCCTGCATCGGGGGTGTCATCCTCTTCCATGAGACACTCTACCAGAAGGCGGATGATGGGCGTCCCTTCCCTCAAGTTATCAAATCCAAGGGTGGGGTTGTGGGCATCAAGGTGAGGGGTCAGGGCCTCAGGGTATGGAATTTGAGATGGATCTGGGGAGAGAAATGCAGTGTAATAAGCCAGGGAATGAATACTGGGTTGGAAGCCTAAAGATGTGGATGGAGTCTGCCCCAGACTATGGTTGGCATGGTTGACCTACTTGGCATTTGTAATCCTCCCAATTCTAAGAGCAGGGCATTATTCCCATCTTATAGATAAAAAACCACCAGCTCAGGGAGGTGAAGTGTTTTGTGCACAGAGTTAGTAAGTGGCAGAGCACAGGTTAGATTTCCTGACAGCCAACATTCCTGTCAGTTAATGTTCAGAATGTCAGGCTAGGCATGGTGGCCTCTGGGAGGCCAAGGTGGGAGGACTACTTGAACTCAGGAGTTTGAGACCTGCCTGAGCAAAAGTGAGACCTCATCTCTATTTTTTAAAAAAATAGAAAAATTAGCAGTGGGTTGTGGCAGCTTCCTGTAGCCCTAGCTTCTGGAGAGGCTGAGGCAGGAGGATCATTTGAGCCCAGGTTTGAAGTTGCTGTGAGCTAGGCTAACGCCTCTGCACTCTAGCCTGAGCAACAGTCAGACTCTCTCAGAAAAAACAAAGGCCAGGTGTGGTAGCTCATGCCTATAATCTTAACTTTCTGGGAGGCCAAGGCAAGTGGATTGCCTGAGCTCAGAAGTTCAAGACCAGCCTAAGCAAAGTAAGACCCTGTCTCCATTAAAAAGAGAAAAACCAGCCAGGCGTTGTGGTGGGCACCTATAGTCCCAGCTACTCCGAAGGCTGAGGCAAGAGGATTGCTTGAGCCCAGAAATTTGGCGGTTGCTGTGAGCTTATAACACTAGGGTACTCTACCCAGGGCAACTGAGTAAGACTGTCTCAAAATCAAAACACACAAAAAAAATTCAGGGTGTCAAATAATATCCCTGTGTAGCCTGCGTCACAAGATTAGATACTGTAACTAAATGAAAATACTTGCAAACCCTGAGTTGATACTTGAAAGATTAAATTGAGGGAAGAGTAGGGATAGAAAGGAGGAAAGTGGTCACTTCCCATTTCATGTTGTTACCCTCCACCCCAACAGGTAGACAAGGGTGTGGTACCCCTGGCAGGAACAAATGGCGAGACTACTACCCAGGGTAAGACTTTTTCTCTCTTCCCTACCAACCAACCCACCCCACCCAGTTTGGTAGCCTTCTTGGGTGCCAGGGGTGAATGGGGGACACATTCCCCTCTTCCCCACCATGCTCTGACAGCTGTCTTTTCTTAGGGCTGGATGGGCTGTCTGAGCGCTGTGCCCAATATAAGAAGGACGGAGCTGACTTTGCCAAGTGGCGTTGTGTGCTAAAGATTGGGGAACACACCCCCACAGCCCTTGCCATCATGGAAAATGCCAATGTTCTGGCCCGTTATGCCAGCATCTGCCAGCAG